CCATCTGCTGTAATAGCGTTAGGCCGGATAGATGGATGGCAGCGTGAATTGAAGGGAAGGGGGAGGAGAAAAAAAATAAAATCTAAAGGGAGCCTTCATCGCAAAAAAAAAAAAAAGATGGGTTTCAAGCCTTCCGCAGCGGATGGAACGAACGGAAGAACGCAGACAACAGACCCACGGCTTTGGTGAACACCTCCGATAGTGTATCCATCGTCTCCATACCGTCCAGTCTCCTCTGCAGGGGCATCCCGGCGGCGCAGAGCATACGCTGGAATTGTTATGTGTGACGGCCGTTTTAGTTGTGGGCTCTGTGAGGGACTCGTACCGTGAATTGGATGGAGGATGCCGAGGAGATCTCTGTTCGCGATGAGAGAGGTGGTGTTTGGGTGTACCATAGGTACCGTAGTTGGTGATGGTGGGTGGTGTCGGGTCAGCCAATTCCACCATCACCTGTGCTCTGACTCCTCATCCGACTGCGCTGGCATGCTGCTGCATCGCGCGCGGTGCATGGTATGCTTCGATGCAGGACCCTTGGGAATTGGTTCTTTCTTGGCTTCTTCGTGAAACCATCCCGTGGTCCCAAAAGGACAAGGGCCAGGAGAGAAATTGTCGTATCCAAACGCGCGGAGCTGGTTCGTACGACCTTTGTACCGCCAAATGGTATCATAAGGTAACTGCTGCTTCGCGCCGCATCCCTCGGTTCTTATAACATGGTTGGACACTTCAACTGCATGGAAACCGTCATTCTTGCGTTTCTTCAATCATGAAATATCTGGAAGATTCGACGAGGCATAGTGAAGAACGTTTGGAGGTTATAGATTCTTGTCAAATGCATTCTTTGCTGGGGGCTAACTTGGCTAAAGAAAGTGGGTGTGCGGCAGGAAACTTTGTATGTACTTGTAACCTTGAAACATACGACGAATGAATGGACCCTGCGTTGAGCGGGGAGGAGGCCCAGCTGCCCGGTGGCCCAACCGGCAGATGGTATTTTGGAGATGATTGATCTCTGGAAAGACGGGTGAACGATATGTATATGTATGTATGAGGGTATCCAGTTGCTACACTTGCGATGCTGCATTGACGGAAATTGCATCGAGCTGAAGTCTGATTCGGGTCTATGAGAAAGGGGAAGATGGGAATTCTACTTTCTGCGCTGACAGGCTTGGAGACCATTCCGTCGGTAGGTAGAAGTAGTTAGGTACTGTTGCGGTTGCAGGGTACCGGGCCGGTCCTGGTCCCGGTCCTGGTCCCGGTCCCAGCCCCGGTTCTCCGTACTCCGTACCCCTCATCGCCCGAGCCACGACTTTGCTTTCGCGCCCAGCTCACCGGCGGATATTCCGAGTTCTGTTCGCATTCTGAATACAGCAATATTTTGTGTGTCAAAAGATGCTCCTTCAGCCCATCACCCGATTCACGTGAGATTTAGCACACCCAGGACGCCGCCTGATGTACGATATTGTAGTCGGCCTATCACAATCATTGTTGGAGATCTCTGCTGCGCACAGAGAGCATGGAAACCGACGATCATTTCCACCTCCATTTGCATCGGCGCGAAACCTAGCTCACATCGGCTGCACATGTGTTTGGGTAAAGCACGGTTGGGACGGGATGTACAAGAAGACGACCGACGACTGAGCTCGAGCAAAAATACGTACCACACCCGTGAGGTAAAAAAAAACAACATAAACGATAGCTGACATCCATACATATATACATCACTCGGATTGATGATTCGGTCCCTCCATTATCTATATTGGCGTTAGTATGGGATGTTAAGATGGCAAATGATTCGAGAGGCTGTCGAATGGCCGTCAAAGCTTGTCTGGTGGACATGCCTCATTGTGCGATGTGATGGCGCCTTGTCGACTTGGCAAAATGGACAAATAACAAGCTGAGAACACCGATATCAACCGAGAGAGGAAAAAACCGTGGCACACGGTATTTTCAACGTCCAACCAGTCCATCTGGTCCCATAGAAGCTCACGAACAGTGCCCAACATCAGAAAAAGAACCATCCAAAAGCAGGTTGAGCAAGTTTGCCTGACAGGTTTCCCAAGATCTCGAGGTGAAGCAACGCGGCGTCCTCTGATCCCGGTCACGTCGTGACTCGAAGAAGTGAGAGGAGAATCGGAATGTCATCAAAAAAATCGAACTGGCCACAGTGGTTGGTGGAGTCGACGCCGTCGTGACCTCGTGGTATCCTTCGACCTCTCCATCACGGCCTCCGCCTGCCCCCCAAGGCTGTCCCATGTTGTGATAATCCACAGCCGGTCCAACCAGTCTGCAACGACCAGCCTGCCACCAAGCACTTTCAAAATCAAATGCCGCCCGAAAACGGAATGGAGGATGCGTTTTGGACGAAGTTGATTCCTGGAACTGAAGGGCATCAAGGTCCCGGATTATATTGCGAAAAAAAAAAAAAGAAGGGCAAAGCGGCCTGCATTGTCTGCATGTAGCACTCGAGATGCAGCCCTGGCAAGCCGCTATCCTCCTTTTCTCAATGGTTCCTGCAAATGTGGCCTGACTTGTACAGTAGAGAAGGAGATGGAAAAGGTTATGCCTTGTTTTTGACGGCGCCCAACGCCGCCATGTCTGGCCGTTTTCCCGTCCTTTTGACACACTTGGTACCGATTAGATGTGCGCAATTGCCATTCCACCTGGGACCCCTGGACCTCCCAAGACAATTTTGGTGGCATACCTCTAGGGTAGAGAGCTAGGTATTGGAGCTAGGAGGTAGCTGAGGTTTCCAGGCGGGAGCTCAACCGAGTCGTGTATACTACAGGTATTTACTGTAGAGACCGGGCTGAGTCAGTTAATGCTACCGGCGTAGCTTCCCCAAAATTACTAACGTTGAGGTTGGGGTAGCAACGTGAAAGCAACCTTCTTTTCATTGTTATTTCATCCCTTCCACTTTCCCCCGCTTCTGCCACTGCAGGAAGGTTACGGGGAAGGTTACCAGCTGACGTATCATTTCGGGGTCCCTCCATTCCGGAATCTTTCATCATTTCCTTTCCGACGCCAACGACTGGACCAACCCAACAACACCGAGACCTCTGAGACCAGTGACTACCTCGCAGTCTTTGATCATCGGTTTGCAGTTGGTTCAGATTGTTCAGGTGGTTCAGCTCGGCGCCAGCACCGGGGCAGCTCGAAGCCACTTGACACAGCTTTCTGTAGACGAGGCCCGGGTATCATAGGTTGTCATTATAAGGCACGGGATATATATTACTGATCTTGATACGTGAAAGTACGATTCCCTCCTTGTTTTCTTTTTGGCTACATACCTTTTGAGGTACCGTGGCTCCGTGGTCCGTACTAGGCGCTCCACCCCGCCGGCGCCAGAATTCCACACGGAACCTGGAGCCTCTGGACCAAACTCACCACGCGACCACCATGCGAGGGGTAACCTAAACATTTTGCAGTTAGACGGCTACCTTTCGTGAGCTTTACGGTACATGACGGGAAGAGGGTCTTGCTGGGAAGGAGGACCCTTTTCTGCTCGAGCTTCTTCTCCTTGCCCATGTTGCCTGTCTCCCACGCCATATGGCATCACGTCCATCACTCTTCGGTCCCTACCACCCTCTCCTCGCCTGGGGCTCCTATGGTACATACCGTGACCTATCTGTAGAAGGTAGCTCTCAGCACCTCAGCATTCAGCTCTTGACTTCCCGTTCAGGTTCCTGTGCGAGTCCAATATGTTCAACCTAACGTCACCTTGAACCCTAAAGACCAAGCACTTCCCGTCGGGTCCTCCATCTCGTCACAACCTCATTGAACGCATTCTGAGCTGCCTCTGATCTTTCCTCTTGCACCACCGCAATTCAACATCAACATCAACAACATCGACCATCTCCAATTCAAAAACCCTTTTGACATCTTTGACCCAAAAACGTCAAGGCTGTGTTGGCGCCTCATCAATCTTCCCCCCTAGCCCCGCCTGTCTACACTGTTGTTGTCCAAACTAAGACAAAGGCCAAAGCCCCTCCCACGGTACCCCCGCCGTTGCCCCGTTGCCCGTTGTTGCCCGTTGTTGCCCGTTCTAGGTACCCGTTGGTTCTTCTTTTTTTCTGCGCTCGCGCTGCGTTCCGGTGGGATCGTCGCTCAGGAGCCGCTGAGAACGGTTCTCGTTGCCTCCATTGATCGGCCCTCTTTTTTTGTTTTGTTTTACAAGTACACTATCTCCATCGCTGCCTTTTCCAGCAATCCGCTGCTGAACCCTCGGAACCCTCACAACGAACCCTCCACGCCCTCCGACCCTCTCTCAGTCTTTCCAGTGCTTGTCGCCGTTATACTAAAAAGCTGGGCCCCACCTTCACTCCGCACCTCGCGCAAATAAGAATCTCGAAAATCTCACCCCTGTCCAAGGCCGTCTCCTCTCGCAATCTGCTGTCGCTAGTCCGTCCGACGCCGCCCGCCTCTTTCGCATCCTTCCCGCCGTCCCTTCGACGGCCTGTACATGTAAGTTTCTCCTGTGTGTTACGGCCCCCCGTTTTCGACAAAACATCATCCGCACTCGCACCCCCATCATCCTCGTCCGTCCACCGTGCTGCTGTTTTCTTCAGTCGGTTTCCATTGTACCTCGAAACTGACCTCGACCCCGTCGTGTAAGCCTTCCCTCTTCGAGCTTCTACTCCATCTGCGTTTCTGCATTCTGCATCTTCCCCGCGCCCCCGATCCCTCCCCGTTCCAGATCAGCAGACGCCCAGGTCCCCTCCTCACAAGGTTCGTGCCACATGCAGTCCCCAGGCATTACCTTACACACTTTGCACAATTTCCACCTTTCGTGTGTTCGTACACGAGTCGCCGAGCACTTTGCGGCTCGGGAAGATAGAGAGAAGAACGAAAAAGAAGCCGCCCCCCCCCTTCCCCCTTTCCACCATCTCCCCCCTTCCCCTTCCCCTATCCGGCCTCGTGCGGGCTGTATTCCTCTCCCAAACTTTTTTTCTTTGATTCCATTACGTCAACACGCTTTGTATTGCATCCGGTTTCCGCAGTCCACCATGCATTCACATTACGATGACGATAGGGTTCGTCGACATGATGCAGCTCTGGGTCTGGTCCTCTTTTCGATCCGCAACTAACCACGAGCGCAAACACACAGGAAGATCAAGACATAATGCCGGATTTCGGAGAGCACGTCGACAATGGGATCTTTGAGCAGATCCTAGAGATGGACGATGACGACAAGCGCGAGTTCAGCAAGTCTTTGGTCACCAACTTCTTTGACCAGGCCGAGGAGACATTTGTAAAGATCGAGGAGGTTTTGTAAGTGCTCTGAGCCGAGTCGGGGCCGCCTTGTCTTCTTTTGATGCTCGTCATGCTATGCGAGCTTACCTTGACGCCTTTAGAGGACCCCAGAGCTAATACGAGGGTCTCTTGATCAGGAACAACAACAAGCTCGACAACGGCAAGAGGCTCGAGACGCTGTCGAGTCTGGGTCATTTCCTGAAGGGCTCTTCAGCCACTCTCGGGTTTAACAAAATCAGGGATTCGTGCCAAATTATCCAACAATACGGCCACAAGCTCAACGTCGATGGATCTGCCGAGCCCAACGAACAGGTCTGCCTGGACAAGATCAAGGCTGCCCTCAAGACCGCCAGGAACGACAAAGACGTGCTGGCGGATATGATGTTAAACGAAACACACGGCTTCTTCCAGCCAGATGACGAGTAGTGTGGGATTTCGAATGGTTTACGACACCCTCCTCCGGCTTGCCGTGCCCATATCCCGACGCTTTCGTTGGGCGATGAGGGCAAGCATGCCTGTCTGCCTATGTTGGAGCAGCTTCGGCGACACCAAGCATGGCATACCTTCGGGCGAGTAGGTCGAGTTGGCGAGACGCGGAAAAAATAAAAGCACAGCAGTCTAGAAGACGCGAATCGGAATAGAATTCAGAGGCCTTTTAGAGCTAGCCATTCCCCAGGGTTTGGAGCTATGAGAGCCATAGTCATTACGCGTGGGCATTGCGCACCGACGGCGTTCTGCGGATCAGACGCACGTTTCATGGGGTGCGCTGGAAAGGGCATTTACGGGATGATGCTTACGGGAAGGCTTCGAGAAGTAGCAGGCTTACTGTCCCGAGATACAGGTGGGGAAGATGATTCCAGCATGGTCTCTGTTTTGGACCCTTTTGCTTGTTGGAATATCGGGATGTTCAAATGTTGTTTGTCGCTTGGTGGATAGTAGGGGGTTAGTCACAGTTCTTACAGACAGGAGTAGCCCTTGTTAGCAGCGGTTTCCGGGGTATCGGATCCGATTCATACAGATAGTATATATCATATAACATCCTCAAGTTGTTCTGTTCGTCAGGGGTGGCGGCTGGGCAAGCTCTAGAGGTGATGATCGTGATAGGGAAAGTGACAAGACCTACGGCGATATGGCTCGGAGGCTTCCGGTAAAAATGGTAGGGTTGAAAATGCACGGACCCCACCTCCGTTTACTCTCGACATGGAAACGTCACCAATGATAAGACGGAGCTCCAGCTGATCGTCCCCCGGCCGGCAATGGAAATCAACTTCATTCAACACCGAACCCAGATTCGCACCAAGTCGCCGACCACTCTGACGTCCACAAGTCACGGCCAGATGTTGATGGTCAGCTTTGTAAGCACTTAAATTAATCAATTCCCAATCGCCAAAAAACGTACCGACAACGCCACCACAGACACCCCGCTTGACACCTGGGCCATCTTTTCGGTAGCGAGGTGCAAAGGACACTCCTAAACATAGCAACATCAGGTTGTGTTGTTGCTTTCCAACACCGAGCACAATCAATGAGGCGTCAATGCGGAGCTTGCAGCCCTGGAAAGCTTGACCAACAAGGAGTCAAAGTTAAAATCGCCGGATTAACACATCGAGTGTAGATAGACTAGTGCTTATTCACCACTCTACATCACCAAATCTTCTGAAACCTCACACAGAGAAGTAGCAACAAGGTATCCTACCGGCATTTCGCCCCCCCCCCATTACTTTACTCAAATCATACCATCTCCCCGGAGTTTTACCTTGCTGGAAAAGGTCCCAATCAGAAGACATCAGCCGAAGCACCTAGCTGATCAACAAGGCCAAAATGAAGGAGTCAAAGACACGAGTACCGACAGCAGGCCCAGAACCGTCTACATCATTATCAACGTCGTCGAAATCATCATCATCATCAATAACAACACAGGAGCAACAGCACCAACCAACGAGTGAGGATAGGACCCAGTCCACCACCTCCCAGGCCAACCTGAATTCCAAAGGCGAAGACAAGAATACCAGCCGAAACACCAACAAAAAACCAAAGATGCCACCAAAACCGACCCCCACGCACTTCCTCTGCATCCCCCTCGTCACCACCGCCTCCCGACCTCAACTCACCCGCAGCCTAGCCGCCTTCAGGGAGGAGGTGACGGTCCCCAATCCCTCCAGCGCTTACGGAGCGTTGCCGATACCAGAGGAAGCCATCAGGCCTGTGGGAACTATTCATTTGACGTTGGGGGTTATGAGTTTCTTGGAGCCCAAGGTTGGGAAACCTGCTAGGTGTGGTCCTGATAGGGGGGATGCGGGAAGTGGGGGCAAGGAAGGAGAAGAATATGGGAAGGGAAGAAGGGAAAGGAGTGGGAGTAGGAGTGGCAGTAGGAGTGGCAGTAGTAGGGAACAGTCACCGAGTGGAGGTGGAGGTGGAGGTGGAGGTGGAGGTGAAAGTCTGAGCGGGCTAAGGAAGCTGGAAGAAGCCAAGGCTCTGTTGAAGAGCTTGAGGCTGAGAGAAATTTGGCAGGAGGTGTTGAGGCAGTCACAGACACAGGTGACGGCGGTACCGGTGCTCCGAGATGACGACAGTGACCACGATGGTGGTGCACCCCTCGCTGTTGGCACGGCGGAAGAGAAGGGTGAGGGACTGGAGGCTGGGCCGGGGACGGCTGTTGGGGATGTCCAACCTCAGTCTCGGTCTGGAACAGGAAAGAAGACAGACGAAGAAGAAGAAGAAGGTCTGAAAATCACGTTAAGAGGTCTTCACGCGATGCAACCACCTTCCAAAGCAGCGGTCCTTTACGCGCCACCCGTTGACCCGCTCGGCCACCTCCAGCGGTTTTGCGAAAAGGTCAAGGACAAGTTTGTGCAGAAGGGGCTGATGATGGAGGAAGGCGGGAGACCGCTCTTGTTGCATGCCACGGTTGTTAATACGATTTATGTGAAGGGTAGGAAGGGTCAGCAGCAAGGAGGAGGAGGAGGAGGCAATAGGGGAGCGAAGAAGGGAGGTCATGGTCACGGTCAACACGGCGGTCATAGAGGGGGCAGAAAAGAAAGACTGACGATTGACGCGAGAGAGATTCTAGAGAGGTACGAGGAGTATACGTGGATGGAAGACGTCAAGATGGAAAAGGTGGCTATTTGCAAGATGGGGGCGAAGAAGGAGATTGGGGTGAATGGGGTGGTGGTTGATGAGGCTTATGAGGTTGAGGAGGAGGTTGACTTTTAGTCTGTCGAACCATGCGACTTTAGAGGTGGATGAATTACGGTTATAGTACAGCACAGCTGAAAGAGGAAGAGGGAAGATGTCACAGTCCGACAAAGGCCCAAGGTTTGGTATCCACGAGCCACGCTAACTTTTGAGAGAGAGAGGACGGGAATGAAGCACGCGAAGCGAAGAGATAGCCGCGGCCGTAGATATCCCGTTAGGCTAGGTAGGTATCGTATGTACATCGTCCCTACATATCGATCGAGTCGTTACTTGGAGTCGAGTCTTTCCCGGTCTATTCCCACGGTTGTATCTACTGTGTGTAAGCTCCCAGCCCCGAAGCTGTACGTACAATGTGCGTAAAAGTACCTGTCTACATTCCATGTTCGGCCATAGGGCTTCGAGAGGAGGGGCAGAGGGGCTTCCATGGGTCAACCCCTGAATGCCATGTTTTGGCCGCGCCGCCCCGAACGGACCTTGCCTGGCCCGTTGCTGAAGGTACGGCGACCAGACCATTCGGACCATGATCCCTGTCCCATGTCCAATGAAAGGAAGTATCGAAGGGCCCCACTCTTTTGGAAACGAACACCGCTGTGGAAGGATCGATGGACAGGGGTGTTTAACTGGGGACCACGGGACTACAGGGCTGATGACCAGAACAACTCTCCGGGAAAGAGTGGCCCGACAACAACTAAAGGCTAAAAAAGTGTCTCTAACGGGAAGGCACAGAAAAAAAGTGCACTGGAATCGACTTCGCGATCAGCAAGTAGAAACTTGTTCCACCCTTCATTCCGAGTGGCTTGGACAACCAACCCGCTGGCTTCAAGTTCTCCAGGCAACGACAGCCACATCACATCAGCAAACACCGCAACGACAATAACGACGACACTTTTGCGAACACTCTGGAAATCAGCATGCCGCGTACCGAGCAGAGTAACGACCAGAGCGCTTTCTTTTCCCTTTCCGCTCTACGATAGCCGAACGTGTTTTTGTTTGTTCGCTACAATTACACCCATCAAGATGCCTCGCAAGACTCTGGGGACGCCCGAGAAGCCTCGCGGTTCTTCGGAAAGTGCTCGAAGTCCTTCGTGTTTGCGCAGTCTACGAAATGCCAGCTCCAGCTCTCAGCCAACATCGCCGTCGAGAAACGCTACCCGTAGTCCACGACCGGGTGGCTTGGCCCAAGCCATAGCTCCGCCTCCGCGAGCAGCACTCTCTCCTTCCCCTTCTCCCGATGCCCATAGCAGCCACACAAGCACGCCCCGCGGGAGTAGATTCATAGTCATGGATGAAGGCGGTGGTACAATTACAACTACAGGCATTATATCTACAGCAGACCCTTCCAGCTCCAGCTCAAGCATGCGAGCCTCTCCCTCACCCATACCCGCACCAAGACCGACAACACCTACACGTCCAACTACTACCTGCGAGGACCTCCTCAGGCAAAAAGACGACCGCATAGCCCACCTCGAGCTCTCGTACCAGCGCAGCCTCGACGCCCTGACCAACGCCTCCTCCAGTCTCTCCTCGCTGACCTCCACCACCGCTGCCGAGCTCCGCCTCTTACGGCTGGAAGCCGACGCCCTCCGTGCCGAGCGCGACGAGCTTCGCTCCGGCTGGAACGCCGTGCAGCAGAGCCTGCGCGAACGCGAGGACGAGATCCGCGACTTGCGGCGGCAGATGCGCGGGCTGAAGGAGTGGGTGAGTAATAGCACGCGGGCGGACGCGACGGGAGCGGCGACGCAGGTGAGCGATGAGGTGTTTGGGGCGGGCATGGCGAGGTTGGGGAATGGGTTGCAGAATTGGATGCTCGTGAATTTTAGGAGGGCCAAGGTGAGAGTAGAAGTGGATGATGGGGTGAGGGGGGAGTTGGGAAGGGTGGTGCCTATGTTTGACGAGATATTGGCGATGGGCGGCAAGATACATCTGATACAGAGTGTGGTGTCGAGGTTGTTGGTGGACATGGTGTTTGGCGCTTACTTTGTTGGGTTGACGGGGGAGCAGGAGCGGGTGGTTAGGGAGGCGGAGGGGATGCTTGGGGGTATTGGTATGTTGCCGGCAGTTTTTAGACGAATCCTGTTCTTGTGATGACCGGAAGCTGACCTTACTGACATACGCAGCATCAACGCCCGAATCTCTCAACCAGTGGCGCGCCCTGACTCTATCTATCCTGAAACGGGAAGCCGACCAGAAGCTACAAGCCGAAACAGCCGTCATTATCGACGCCTTGGTTGCCAAAGCCAATAGCATCTTGGATGCCATTACGGGTGTTGATACCAAGGCCACCGCAGCGCGGGATCAAGGTCTCAGGCAACTTGTCAACAGCGCAATCGACATGTCACGGCTTCTCGTCGTCCAGAAAGCCATCTTCAGAGTTAACATGCCCGAGATTCTGCCACATCAACGAGTTCTTTTCGATGCAACCACGATGGAAGACATCGGTGGCGAGGACGAGGAGAGTTTGTCGGATAGAGAGATCTGCTGCGTCACGTTTCCGGGAATCATTAAGCAGGGCGACGAAACTGGTGGGCAGCTCCAATGGAGGAATGTCATTGCCAAGGCCAGGGTACTTTGCAGTCCGGAAGAGTGAAGCAAGACGTTGAGCCGACGTTAACGGCCACTCGTGAAAACTCCAGACGGCCGATTTGATGATCTTGAGCGATCTTCTATCTTCCGCTCCATGGTCGACGAGCTTTCAGCTGAAGATGAAACGGAGCTAAACAACGCGACCAATCCAGCACCACGGGCAACAGGCCAACAACTCCTGCTCATTGCAATCTATGGTAATGTTCTGATGTTCTTCAGATGTCGATCATTGGCCCTCGAAGGGACATGTGTGAGCAGGGATTGTCACCGCGACCCGGAACGAAGCGGCTACCGATAGTCATCAACGAGTTGATCGGTTGATGCCCAACGTACCAAAGCCGACGGCCTAACCACGTGGGGAAGAAATGCAAGCCCCGCGCGCCATGGCGATAGTTCCCCCTGTTGGGCACGAGTCCGTTATCTGCGGAAGAACCTCGCATATCCTGGAGCTGCTGTGGTAGCTCGGAGAGAATCAGATCACAACCTCGATCAGCTACCATCTGAAACATCTGGAACTGCTTTCAATTAAAAGGCCATGTGGTTTTCTCGCCCCCAAAAGACGTGTCAGGTTACCCGGCGACTATTTCACCACACCTGAAACACGTTTAACGGGAGTCTCGGAGACCAGGAACGTCGATAAGCCTGAGATGCTTTCTCTTATCCGTCAACAGAGATGGCATTGCGTGCCCCTACCTACTTCGAAGGTATCAACTTCGAAGGTATCAACTTCGATGCACCATTTGGTCCCACATGAACATGGATGGACAGAAAAGACGCAGCAGACGTATAACATGCAACTAGTTATGATAATACATGCACCGAACCATATATCTTGTCGGAACGACCGATTCCATCACTTCACTGGATTTGGCCCAGCAGAGCCTCAATATTCGATATCGGGATTAGCAGGCGCCCCTTACGGCTAGCAACTTCCCTGGAAATTGGGATATTAGCGGTGCATACCTCTACTGGACAAGAAGTCGATGGTGCCGTGGTTGTTGATTATCACAAGGTGTCCTTGCCGTTTCGGCGCCGTGATCTCTTCGCTCCATACGACCATGTACATGCCTATGTACCTACCATCCCGCTTTACCCATTTATTCCCCCACCCATTCATCTATCCATCGGCTTCTCCGCAATTGCATCTCTCCAGGAGCTGACCCGGCGGCAGTCCCGTCCCTCACCTCTTCACTTCCAACTTGCTATAAGCGGAAGAGGGTGGTCAGAAGTGGTATCGGAAGCTAGGTCCTTGCTTGCTTGGCAGTTCATTCATGTGAATGAAGGACGGGATATCCGACAATGAATCAACCTCTTTTCACTGTGGTGAGCTGTTACCATACTACTACACATGCTACACTACTCGATACGTATCAGCAAATACCTATAGTAAAGGATCAGATAAAAAGAGATGGCTGGAATGAAATCATTCCGCATATACATCTCCCCTCTTATCTCAGGATTGACCGACGACGACGACGCCTTGATCAGATCAGATGGTTACTATTGAGCTAGCAAAATGACAAGATTCCGCAACCGCAACCCTAGCTAGACGCGAGCGCTTTACGACTTACTGGTAGAATCTCCTGACGACCCGACGACGATGCTTACCCAACGCGCTGGATAGCTTTGCGATTGGATGAAAGCAAACTATCTACTGCGTACCTGGTATCTTTTACATACATTATTGGCTTTTTTGATGGCTCAATAAACATTATTAGCCAGCAAAGCCGAATATTCATGCAAGCCGTTACGGCTTGAAGGGTGCCACGTAGATAGGTACGGTAAGTGCCTTGGGTATATCGGTACTGTACGTGCTTCAGACGCAAAGGCGTGATCTCTCGTTGCATCGATGTGCCTGAATGGCTTTCCTATGCATGGAAATATGAGTTCTGAGTTCTGTGAACCCGTCGCAAACGTCCCCCGCTATTCGAAGATTCACGAGGGATACTGCTACAGTACCTGCTCCACGATCCAGAGATACGGCAACGACTGCGACAGTGAGAGGGGAACGAAGGCGAAGGAAAAGATACTCTACCGAACGGAGCGGATGTCAACCCAGTCCGATCGATGGACCTAATGGAGGACATACCTAGGTGTGTGAGCCATATGAAAGCGTATCGCGTGAAGTTGTGGACTTGTGGGTTAGCACGTGGTGGCTGGTAAAGGCTCATTGAATTCACGAAAGTCAATTCAATTCTTCGGCAACTGTCTTCATCCCGTCCGTCGGTCATGGCACGCTGCAGCAGCAGCAGTCATCCACTCAGTTTCCTCAGCCGAATCCTTCGAATATGCAGACTACTTTTATGTATGCTGCACTACCACATTGCTTTTTCCCCAGACCCGCATGAAGCAGTAGCAGCAGCGAAAGCCACATCATCTCAAGCCACCTCACCACTGCAGATATGGTACATTCTCTTTTCTCCCCTCCCCCCTCACCTCGTTCGACATCCACTGCAGGCAGGTTCTCCGCACCCATCTATACTTGCACCCCAATGACTTTCTTGTGGTGGGAAAAGCGAACAGGTTGTTCGGGTGTTGGAGTGCAGTGCAGTTTGGGGGAAGTGGGAGTCTTGCACGTACCTACATGCTTTCACTTAACCCGGACCACATGCCGTCTCCGAGGAAGAGGGGAGGAGAAGGTGCATCGGCGTCGCATATGCTGCCTCGCCGCATTTCCATTCCGGGTAGATGAAGGCCGGAATGACCTAGCGATATGTTCTTGGCAGCTGTTGCCCAACCTCTTCTTGTCTATCGTCGGAGATGGAAAGGAAAGAGAAGGGTAGAGCCGGCAAATGGTAAATGCTAATAGCTTGTCTGTCTGTCTTGCCGATGTTGCTCCTCACTGCTCGCCGACGTTCGCTGGCTGACGCTGAGCGACATCACGTTTCAAACCGTGAAGCCAACCACCCGCCTGAATGAAATGGCTATCCGACGTTCCTACGTTTGTTGGTTTGATCAAGATCGTTAGGTAAATATTCAGGACCCAAAAGAAAACAATGAGTGGTGGAAAAGGGGAGGACGAAAAAGGGCACTAAACAGTCTAGTGCCAGGGGTACATCCGTCCCGAGTACCATTTGCCTCTTTTACCCCTCCTCCCGAAACTTATTTTCCGCTAGACAAAGATATCGATGTGTTGTCTCTCTTCGAGAGGCCAGAAAACGCGACATCAACCGGAAACCAACTAAATCCCAAGATTTTAGACGTTCCGGCACGGAAGTCGGCTCGACAAGGGGGAAAGAAGGGCGGGGCAACAACAAAATTCCAAAATCCAACTGGCTGTTCTGATCTGATAGGGAGAGGAACAGAGGCCCGACCCGATGATGATACACCCGCGGAGTGGTGGTGGGTGTGTGGGCCGAGGAGGGAACGGTGAGATTTCCGAGGGTTGACGTTGTGGACGCGCATTACTTGCCATACGCGACTTGAGGAGGTGGTCATATGAGTGCGACACATAGGAAAGGACGGGAGGTTTTCTAAGTGGGAGATTGGGCAGATGAGAGGAAACGGGAAGTTCGCGATATAACCTCTCCATGGTCCCTGATTTCCTTTTCCCTTTTCCCTGGAAAGATGACTTTGGTTTCCTCAAAATCCACAACTGACACCAAGTTCCCTTCGACTGGTTGGGAAATCAACCTCCACACTTGGGGACTATATCAACTCAAAGACTGCCCGAATCTTCCCAGAATACTTGATCCTCGCTTTCATCAACATCATCTTCTCCTACCGATCCCATCAAGTGCCACTTGAAGTTTTTCAGAGCTTACGGTTGGGTGCACAACTGCAACCCCCAACGGGAACACTCGATCCGCCAATGTAGGTAACGTTTTCGTTCTCGATAAGAACCATACATATCCTCCCACCCTGCCTCGGCAATGGCACCTATACACAGCGCTGGCTGCCACGATGGCATTGGATTCTCGCACTTGCGCTTGTATCCCAGCATACACTTCTGGCATTCCCTCTTCCCCTCCAGCTTGCTTTCACTCTTTTGTTGAAGACGACTTCTAGTTGCTCTTAGTCTCTGGTGTCACCAGCTCTGGTTTTTCTTTGAGACTTCATTTCTGACTTGAACCAGAGAGCAGTGACATCTTCATAGCCGGCTCCGAGGCATCAGCAACGGCCCGTTCCACATAACCAGGCTCTCGAACGTCGAACGGGACCCCCACGTCAGAGGAAGCAGAACACTCGCTTGCCCCTCCCATTCAAAACATCCCCACTGCCGCTTGTCCGGCTGACACTTGTCGCCCCTCAACCAACCGCACAATGGCGTATCGCACCTCAGCAGACCGTATCAATGGTTATTCCCATCAGGAATACAGATATGATGAGTGTGACGACGACCATGCATCCTTGTTTGAAGACTCGACCCCACGCAGTAGCTCTCATCATTACTACGACACCGATTCTGTCAACTCCTCCTATGCTCCATCCACGGCGTATTCAATGAGGTCGGCATCCACCGCCATCACAATTCCGTCCCGCGGTCTGGACCGTCCTACTTTGGAACAACATATCAGTCAAGGGCCTCAGGGCCTTTACGACCAGGGCGGTGATCTATGGTGCGAATTACGCGTCGTGGCCGGCTGCGGCGCGAATTTCTACCTCAACGAGGAGGGCGCCTGGATCAACCACCACCTCATGCACTTGAACAACTTGTTCCCCAGCACAGTCGTCTGCTGGTTCTGTGACGACTACCTGTTTTCCGTCAACGAACGAGCACCGCAAGCCGACCGCCAACGAAATTTCGTTGACCGCATGCGCCACATCCACGGCCACATACAAGGAGATGAGAGCTTGACCATAGAGAGCATGCGGCCTGACTTCAACATGGCTGATCACATGTATCAAAACCGCTTGATCAACGAACAAATGTGGAGAGACTATAAGAGTTATACGGAGTTGCCGCCAGCGATGAGGATTCCTGGTACTCCAGGGTCGGTGTCAGATAATAGCCACCAACATGGTCAAAGCCACAGCCAAAGCCAAAGGGGACCACATGGTCCGCTTACTCCTCCGGAGGACGATGGCTGGTATCGATCGCCTCGTGAGTTGGCGCGTGAAGACCGCATGAGACGCAGAGGGGGAGGTTCCCGCCGGTGAAAAAAAGGGGAAAAGAATGGAAATCAGACTTGGAGAAAAGGATCTTGACACTGTTGACCCTGTCTCTGCTTCTTTGGTCGTTGTCCCGTGGCCATGCTTGACACGCTCGGTCGGTCAGTCGGTCGGTCACCCAGACGCTCACCCAGTCGCTCATTTCGGTCGGCATTCTCTGGTGCGGCTTTGTCTTTCGTCTAGGAATGTCGGTCGTCGTGAAGAAAAAATACGGAGGAAAATTCGCTTCGTTTTCGATACCCCTTTCATTCTTACTTCCCATCTTCTTTTCTTTCGTCTCAGCTTCGTTTTGATGTTCCCGAACTTCGGATTGGACCAGCGAAGACACGTCATCATGGTCTCTGATTGCTTCTGTCCCGGGTGCTGCTTGCATCATGTGCCTTTTCATGCACATCTGCGGACGGGACGCGATGCACACATCCGAGCAGTATGTGGATATCCGACAGATGATGGATGGAACGAACTGTTCAAGGTACAAGTTGTTGGCTTTCGTGGTTGTTGTTTTTGCGCGTTGAGATGCCATCTTTCTTGTTATTCTTTCTTCTCTTCTCATTTCTCGGGGGTTGATGCTGATGACTGATGACGGAATGCCTTTTCTCTATACTTTTCGGGGGAAAATCTTTTCGGCTGGCCGAGAAGATTCGGTAACCGATATCTGTTCATGTCGAGATGTTTGGTACGTTTTCTTGTTTTGGATGACGATGACTGATGACTCATGATGATGATGACGGCGATGTTTTTTTTCTTCCTCGGATTTTTGGACGGGAAACGAGGCCACTTTTCGAGTGTTTCGAATCTTGGTTGGTCGCATGAAAGCGCAAAGCTATGAGCGGCAATGAAATTTACTTCCATCGTCGGCTTCTGTTCGAGTCATCGTGAATATCGGTGGATGCTGAATGATTCAAGAGCAAGATGTGTGGTCGTCATGCTCCGCGCTAGGGATAACCGGGTGATGTTGAGGGGAAGGGGAGAAAAGGAGGAAAAAGAGAAGAAAAGGAGATGGAGGGGCATTACTCATCAGTGAGGAAGAACGTCTGTCGTTCGGTGATATCCCACTTGCCAGATCAAACTCGGAACTTTGAGCAGGCGTGAGGCGGGCGGCGGCCGAACCATGTAGCTCCCATCCCATCCATTCCCATCCGAGACACTCTTTCCGTTGGAGCATAATTTGACAGGGAATGAGAACAGATACCTTAATCATCACCCATTATTCCTTTACCATCTGTGTTTTCACCACTTCACAACAAATGAAAGAAAAAAGCAAGACAGAAAAAAGAACAGCACACCTGAAGTGCGCGAGAGCGGCTCTGCTAAAGTTGTTTACACCCCTTACCAACGCCGCGCACCGCGGCCGCACTAGTCTGGTTGCCTTGCGGCCGCCTCGTGGGCCGCCTCGTTTTGTTCGTGTGAAAAATGTTGTTCGCCATGCCATCCCAATGCCATGCGTTTGCTTTCTCTCCGTCTTGTCCGATTTGTCCCCCTTGTTTTCTTCTTTTCTAACGGTCGGGCGAGCTGGCAATGCCTCTTTTGCCTTTCATGTGCTGTGCCTCTTTGGTGATAGGGGCACGGAGTGTGGCAGTGCATGCACGGGAGGGGGTTACCCGCTAGGCTACCATCCCGTTCACCGAAAACTGTACGGAGATGGCGCTTGTCCAATGAGCATTGATTGAGTTGATGGTAGGTGGTCGGAACAGTTCCGCGAGCAAAAGACACGATGCTTGCGAAGTGGCTGTAGCGGTGGTCGTGATGGTCGGCTAAGGGACTAGTGTCTGGAAAGACAGTCACATATATGTAAGAAGAAACCAAATATGATTGAGGCTTTTCGCATGCTCAAGGCCCCATTGATGTCCTGAAACAAACAAGTTATGTGAAAGAAGAATATAAATTACCCGCTAGTCATAACTCATATCACATAAAAGCGTTCCATCATTAACATCCCATATTCCTCAGCATGCCAACATCCACACCATACTGAATCAAAGCCCTTTAAACCCTCCCAGCAGCGTCCCCCCGTCCCATAATTCCCCCTTCCCTCTCTCTTTCTTTGTTGTACCTCTTCTCCCTCTCACGCTCCCCAGCAATCCCGCCAACCACCTCATCCATCTTCTCCGCATCCCCATGATACATCTCCGCACTCGGCACCGTCGGCCTCATCCCCTTTCCATTCTTCCCCCTATGGAAGAACCACAAGCTCTGATCCGCTCCATACCTAACCAACTTTTTCAATGGCACGTCAAACACATGATCGAGCTCCTCCAACGTCTTTTCCTTGGTCTCGGGGACCAAGAACAACGTGAACAGAAACCCGATGATGTTCCACCCGGCATACCAGCCAAACGCGCCCTGCGGCTTGAAGGCCGTGACCATGCTCGGCCAGGTAATGGATAGAACGAAATTAAAGAACCAGGTAGTGGCGGTGGCAAGGGACATGCCGATCGGCCGGATGTACAGCGGGTAGGCCTCGGCCGAGTAAGTGAACGGCACAGGACCCTCGCCGGGGGAGTATACAATGCCGAACAGGTAGATGCCCAGAGCGATGCAGCCGACGTGGGCTTTGGAGTCCTCGGGGATCCAGAAGCTGAAGCCGGTGAAAAACAAAAAGAGGGACATGAGCGGGAAGGTGGTCAACAACAGATTGCGCCTACCAAAGGTGTCGATGGTGTACAAGGCCGGGATGGCGAACAGCCAGTTGATGACGCCGAACCCCAGCGAGGCGGCCAGCGCCGAGACGTCGCTGAAGCCGGCGTCTTGGAAGACGGCCGAGGAATAGTAAGCGATGATGTTGACGCCGCAGAACTGCTGCATGAACATGAGCCCCGACGAGGCGATGGCCGCGTTGCGGTTGCGCCGCACGGTGAAGAGTTCCTTGAAGCGGTTGCCCTTCTTGATGCCTGACATGGCTTGCTTCTCGGCTTCGAGGAGGGTGTGAGTGTAGAAGAGGTCGCGGGCGGCTTGGACTTTTTCGAAGCGCAGACGGCAGAGCGCCGCGAAGGCATCCTGGTGTCGGTCCTTGCTGAGGTACCAGCGAGGTGACTCCGGGCAGAGAAAGGCGAGGCAGCAGACGATGACGGCGGGGATCATGGCCGAGCCCATCATCAGACGCCAGTTCAGACCCAGGCTGATTCCGTGGTCGGGAACAAAGTAGAAGGCCAGGTCGGCGATGTAGCCGACCATGATGCCGAAGGCTGTCCACATCTGCCATTGCATTACCAAAGCACCACGGAGCTTGGGAGGGGAGCACTCGGCGGCGAAGATGGGGGTGGTGGCTGACTTGGGGCCGATGCCTAGGCCGAGATAGAAGCGGGCGATGAACATGTGCCACCAGGTGTTGGTAAAAGCTTGATGGAAGCAGGCAACGGCGGATATGACGCACGAGATGAAGATGGTGCCTCGTCTGCCGAACTTTTTGTTCATCGGGTCAGTGAGCCAGCAGCCGAGAATGGCACAGCAAAGGTAGGGAGCCGAGTTGACGAGACCCAGAAGCCAGGTGTCTCTCTGGCTATCTGTACCGATGCCGAACTTGTCTTTGTAAAAGAGCTGGGCACCGTTAACGACCGTCTCGTCCATTCCTTGGACAGCAGCGCATAGAGAGCAGACTTTATTATGTGGTCAGCATCGGGTCGTTCAACTTCGGACCACGGCAAGGGGTAAGTAACGTACTAACGACAACCCAGTAAAGCATAGGTGGGTTGGACCATTTGTGAGTGGTTTCGCGCACCAACACCTCTTTCTCCCGTTCAGTAAGTTCCGGCATCGTATCATAGTTGCTCTCATCGCCGGCGATTCTGGCTCCGAGTCGGAAAGCTCTGACGTCCTCCTCGCTGGTGAGGCCGGCCATCTGTGCATATTCTGCTCCCATCTTCTCGAGACGCTCAGGGCTCAAGCCAGCTAAGGGATTCGCCAACTTCTTTGAGGCTTCTAGTCGCGCTTTCTCGGAGTTGGGTTGTTGGTTCGAAATTCCGACGCGGTCTTCATGTTCGTAAGCGGTTCCTGAGGCGGAGCCGGACGATGTTGAACGGCGGTCATATTTCTTCTCGTCGAGTCCACCTGTATGGCCAGTGGTGTTTGTGGGGTTCGACGCCATTTTGGATAGGGTGTTTTTTATTGTGTCTCACTGGAGACACTCGGGAGTCTGAGCTTATGACAAGAACATCAAGACAAGTGAGGATGAGAAAAGGAACTCTTGGATTCTGGGCGCCACGGCTTGGTTGTATATCTCCCGTCGACTAAGCTTTGGGGGCCATCCTGAACATCGGTTACCGAATATGGAGTCCAAAGAAGCAATCAGGTACTTGTGCTTAGCCGACACTGTTACTTGACAGACCAAATCCTCCAAAAAAGCCGAGAGATGACGGAGCTGTAAGCCCACATCCGGACCGGGCAAGGCCAGCCATGAGGAGATAATCCGGGGTGATTCTCGATCGACGAGGTCGGCTCGTGGTCGGGTAACGGCGTCGACGTCATTTCTACGAATCCCCAGAGCCTTTCTTTGTGTGTCCGCCGGCTTGGACGTGCCGTGCACGCCGTGGTGGTGCCTGTCACTCCGTGTGTGAGGGGGTCCAACGTTGTGGTGGGATTATGGATCGACAAAGAACCAGACATCTTGGGCGGTAAGAGTCAAGATTTGCGAGGCCTCGGGAATGCCTTCATCGGTGATATGACGTCGATCTGTCCGGGGGAGGAGAAAATTTGGAGAATGTCAGCATGTCTGGACTTCGGGGAATGTAGGGGATGTTACCTACCCGATGTTAAACCCGGTACTAACAGACTTGCGTGGTACCATCACCTGAATCTGTTACGACACTACTGATCTAACCTAATACGGCAGCATGTTGTGATTTTGTTTCCCCCTTGTTTTGATCACGACCTTTGATGATATTCATCACTCGTGAACATTCAACACCACTTTAGAATCACTAGGTCTGTTTGCTTTCAAACATCTATTTTCGTCTTCCTACGACCACTGCTCAGTGAAAACAGCGACACCAAACCCAGGGGCAGGCACTGTCGTGTCAGGCTGCATGGTATATATGTCCCACGCAACTTCCCCCACGACCCCCACCTATTCCTGCTTCTCCCAGCTTCCTCCACGCAATCCAAAATCCCAAACTTTCATCTCCTCATCCCATCCAATTCTGTCACTCCCAAATGGTCACCATCCTAAAACGGTGGTCCACTCTGCCAAGTCACCGCCTTAAAAGGATACCAAGGCCCTTCATCAGCTCTAGTCCCATACCTTCTTTCCCCATACCCATCGTATCCATTGTTATAGTTGTAGTTCTGATAAACAGGATAAGGCTGCGGAACTGGTACATGAACAGGCACATGCACCGGATACGGCGCCGGAACATTGACCCGGACAGGAACCCTCACCGGAACTTCATAGGGAACTTCGACGCGAACGGGCACTTCGACTTCCACTTCGCGGATCTCGCGCACGGGGATCTCATGGATGATTGGAATTTCGCGGTAGATGCGTTCTGGGCCATAACAACGGGGACGGGGTCTGGCAGTGTTGCAACCGGGCCGTGGACGGGGTCTGTAAGTGGCGCAGGCTTTGGGTTTGGAGTGGCAGACTTGTTGAGTAGTGGCAGGAGAGTGACATGTTGGTGCTGGAGCTGGATGAGGTGATGGGAGTGAGATGGGTGGGTGACCTGGTGGAAGACGGGGATAATGTGTCGGCTTTGGCTTTGGAGGCTTGCACTTGGCCGGCACCTTGGGCCGTGGTCGTGGATGGCAGGAGACTACCGGATGTGGCGGGAAAAGACAGCTATAGTCTTCGAACTTGGTGTGGCACTTGGTGACGGTTGGCGTCTTGCAGGAGAGATTAACGGCCGGACGCTTTCTCTTTGGACGTTTGGTCCCGGAGATGAAGCGCACGTGGAGGTTGTCTGGTTTGCGGTCTTGCGATGATGAGGAGGTTTGAGGATTGTCTGATGGCCGAGGGCGGGATCTTGATCTTGACCGGGATCGGACTATCGTAGTCACTCGCTGAACTCCGGGTGATGTGCTCCGGATTTCCACTCGGCTTGAGGAACGTCGCTCCATACTTCGCCCTCGCTCAGCCGCGTCAGCATCATCATCGCTGCCCCCGCCTCTGAGTCGGTATCCATCGTACTCGGCCCTCCTTCGTTCCCTCGCTCTGTCTCTGTCGGATTGTCTCTGTCTTGTTGCTCTTTCTTCCCTCAGTCTCTCTAGTGAGCCGCTCCTTCCTGCTGCCGGCCGTCCTGGAGTCCCAAACTCAGCTGCCATCAAGGCCCGTCTGACTCTTGCTTCCATCGCGGTGTCCATGAATTCCGGGAACAAGGACCTGTCGAGATGGCCGGGTAGCAGGCCTTCGCCTCCTCTTGCTCCCCACCTATTCAGATTGTCCATCGGCGCCGTGATCTGATTAATTCTGAACACATTTGAGAGTAACTGATGCTGGCTTTCAGGATAGCTCAGGATCAACTTGATCAGAAACTCGGCAAAACCTCTGGGCGTGAGGCATGGAGAAGGCCGAGTGGCTTTGCTCTGGGGCAGTGTGCGAGGGCGGTATTCGACGTCGAGGTCGTCATAAAACCTTTGGATTCGGGTTATCGATTCATCGCTGGTCTCGTTTCTAAAGACATCTGACGCGCCAGGTCAGTACTTCAAGTTCACACGACTCGCCAAACGATCATGAAGAGGGAAAAGACACTCACCCCAATACCTCCATTCCTCCTCTTCCCTCGGCCCTGTCACATAATACCGATCAAAGAACCTCCTCATCCTTCTCGGACTGATGAGCACGTTCTGCCTATCCAATATGGTCGATCTTCCCCCGGGCATCTCACGGACCTAAGCAATACCTCAAAGTTAGCACATACACGGTTGTCAATTGGCGCCTCCACCAGAAACTATCCCCCAACAACCAACTCCACGTGAAAAAGATGGACAAAAATCAAGAAGAAAAAGACTCACAACCCATCTCCCCAAAGCTGCCAACACCTCCCTCAACCTCTCCGTCGGTCTCTCATCCGCATCAAACAACACTCCCCACGCCGCTCTGGGCATTTCGTCTGCGTCTGCTTCGTCTACGTCGTGGTATTGGTAGGAGGTAGTGGTAGTGGCAGTGGTAGTCACGGTCGTGCTATCTTCCTCTTCGGCATCAAACTCTCTTCTTCTTCTTCTTTGCCCGTTGGTCCCGTTGGTTGCGGTCCTGGTTCTGACAGTGACTCTCAGTCCATCATCCACTTCTTCGCCGTCCTCACTTCGCTCGTCTCGGAAGCGTACCCGTTGGAAAGGCCTCGGAAGAAGAGCAGGAGATGGAGAGCGGTTTATTTGCCGAATTGTTAGAGTCGGAGCAGGGAACCGTCTCGGAGCAGGGACGTGTCTCGGGGCGGGGAGATACCGGACACGGGCAACTGGGTGGTGAAACCCTAGAAAAGCAGGTGGTGGAGGAACGGGTGGAAGTGGTGGTGACGGCGGGCGGTTACGGTTGGGATAGAAATGGCGGACGCCGTGGTGAATGGTGACTCGGTGATTGCCTGTTTGCTGTTCCCTTGATCTTGATCTTATCCTTATCCTGCCTCTTTCCTCCCTTCCTCCGCTTGGAACGGCGGCGATGGTGTTGTATGCCAGGTCGTCGTCGTTGCCGAGGATGTCAAAGTTGCTGTTGTCGTCGTTGTCGAACGAGAAGGCGGTGGATAGGTATGACGATGATGATGGTGATGGGGGTGGGAAAGAAGACGAAGAGGAGGAAGATGAATCGGAAGAAGAGAAATACTCGAAAGCATACGGAGGGTGAGGATCGGGTTCCTCGAAACTAACCCTTCTTCTTCTTCCCACCCTCAATCTCAGCCTCGGTATCGCGTTAGGGATCGGGATTGGGGAGAACGGTCTTGGTCCGGGTTCGGGTCGTCTAGGTGAATCTGTCCTGGGTCCACTACCAGTACGAGATCTACTACTGCCACGAGGAGGAGGAGGAGACCGAGCATTAACGACGTCCAAAAAGCGGTTTGGGTCGTTGTGGTGGATAGTAGTTTTTCTACCAAAGCCAGAGCCAGAGCCGGAGTTGGACATGGCTGGAAAGGGCAGAAGAGGAGGAAAGGGACTGGAACAAAAAGAGAAGGCAGGACAAAAGGCTCGAAAGAGCAAACTTCCTTGTGTGTCGGGAAGTAACCGAAGGATTCTCTATTTTGTTTGGCTGACTCTTTCTTCGTTCCCAGGAAAAGGGGGGGGCCTGTGTACTTCAACTGCGTGTTGTGCTGTGTTCTTGTGTCGAAGCGGGCCGATGAGGGAATGTGTTGTGTGTGTTTGTCACTACACAGCTTCAAGTCAGTCAGTCTTTGCACAACTCTTTCTTTAGTCGGTGAGATGGTGGTGGTGATAGTGGTGGTGGTAAAACTACGGCTCAACCAGCACACTACACCGGTACTTGGAAGAAAAGCAGTGTTCTTTCTTTTTTTCGAGTTGAAACTGTCGTCTGTCTGTCTGTATGTTGTATGTTGTTTCGTGACGTGGTTGGTGTTTCTGGACATACCTCAAGTGTGTTCATGGTTGGATGTTGAGGTTGTATTGTGTTGTGTATTGTGGTTCACGAAGGCAGGACGTGTTACGACTCTCTCTTGTGGTTGCTGCAAAGCCTTTTGCAGGTCGGCGTGTTTCTTCTTTTCTTCTTCTCTTTGAAAAGGAAGAGATGGGAAAATAAGAGATCGTTTGAAGTTTAAATCTCTTTGACCGCTTCATTTTGATCAACAAGTGTTGATCACGGACAACTCCAAAGCGATCACGACAAAATTACAAGTTAAATACAAGTGCATCACTCTTTTTCATTGACTTCAAGAGAATCATGAAACTGACAAAGACTTTAACAGCCCACTCCAACATTCATGGGGGGCTGGTGAGCAGGATGCACTTACACGGCAGCAACTGGCTAATGTATGGCTTATCGCCAGGCCTGTGACACATTTGTTTGCCATGGCTTTCAAAGGACTTAAGGGAGCAACACGATTGAAAAAATTCTGTCAGTATCATGGAAAGACCACATTGCCCACCATTGCCGATGTGCTGAGCCACATATGTACACGTCGTTAGTATGGCAGAAACTTTGTGCTATCCACCATGCTGCCTTCCACGCCTTACCCATGAGACATTTTCCCGAACTCCGAAAGAGCTCTGCCTGTCAATTCTAACCCCTTTGTTTGTTCTTTTCTGTGCACCGTTGTGTTACTGTTCGTCCGTGGTCACTCTTGAGGGACCACAGTAACATGTCCATGGGACTGATTGGCGGGCTTATCTCAACGACAGCCTTGTCGTTCAAGCAATGGACTGATCCCAGGTGTCTCGTCATCTCGGTTTCACCACGCTGACTTCATCTCCAAGCAAGTGTCGCAAATGCCGTTATGATATAGCTTTACCATGGAAGGGCTTTAATCGAAGACGGCAAAATAGGGTCAAACCGAATTTTGACAGAAGCCCAAATCATGAATATCAACGCTGGCATTTCTCGCATAAACTCTATCGCTTCCTCGGTCCCCTTCCTCCTCTGCCAAGATAAGTCTGTCTAACTCGGCAACTATCTTGCAGAATAGAGAATGATTGATAGCAGTAGAACCGCTGAAATGTTAACAACCAGCTTGACCTTTAACCATGATTCCCATTGTTGATTGAGAACACTCTTCCCTCGCCGACCCTTTTGTCAACACTTCCATAGCCCTTCAAGCCTCGCGGGGCCAGAAAACTAAGCCAAGGTCGATTTGTACCCTATGGTGTTCTCCCACGTTGGCCCCTGTGAAGATGTCGTCTTACAGCTCGTCCTCAGACTCGCCATCCCAGGAGTAGGTATCATCGTCGTAATCATCCACGCCATGCCTAATGTACTCCGGGACTGGGGGCAGCGTTTTGCGACCGGGCTAATGACAAAAAGATAGGTGGTTAGAATACCGATAGCAACACTTTCCAAGCATGACTTACCAGCTTGACCCAATTGCCCGCCTTGACGCCGTAATCAGCTCTCCAGGGCTCCTCAGTCTCGAAAAATTCAGTAACGGTCGTGTGATCAGCAATGAGCTTGCGATTATAGGTTGAAGGGCTGTTGTCCTCGCCGTCGTCCTCCAGAGCAGCAACAACAGATCCCGAATCTTCAGGGCCGAGAGTGGATTGTCCATCAGTCAAGAGAGCGTCACTCGGGGCATACCCTGCGTTGCTCGAAGTCGAGACAGCAGCGTAGGTCTCCGAAAAGAAACCCTGAGAACCCCAGCCATTGCCATTGAGAGAGGAGCCATCTTCGTTCAACCGGGCAGCCAAAGCATTGGTAGAGGCAGAGCCATTCTCGCCACGCAGATGAGGCGGTTGGAGCTGGCCGCTGTAGTCCGTTCCGGCTTCAGAATATCTCGAGGAGTAAACAGACCGGCTGCCGGTGATAGCACCCGAGAAAATGCTTCCGGCACCATAGACGCCAGAGAGAACAGACTAGACATGTTAGCATGTCACATATAATCAATCGTTACAAAGACAAGAGACGTGTTACCTGGTCGTCGCGGTAGAGGGACTCATCCTCCTCGTCATCGTAATCTAAAGCAGCCTGAAGAGCATCGTGCTTAAGCTTGCGACGAAGGCGAGCCTGAGCAAGCTCCTCTTCCTCGGTAGTGTCCAGAAGAGTATTCGGAGCAGGAACAGTTGCGTACGGCTCGAGATACAGCTGATGCTGGGTGCAGTCGATACACTTGAACTTGCGCAACCTTCTAGAATTCTTGCTGAACCTCTCCAAGGGCAAGATACGGTGACAGCCACCCACGCATTGAACGTCCGTAGGATTATGTCCAGAATGGGCTTTGCACGAGATAAAGGAGCGGTAAGGCGTGACTGCTTTGTTGGTACGGCGCATTTCCTCGTACTCCCTGAGTCTCTTGGGGTTGAAGGCAGAACGATCCTGCCACTCCCTGCCGTTCTCGCATCGGATCCTGTTGAGGGCTTAGTATCGTATCCAGAACATACTGGAGACATGTGCGTGGGAACATACTGTCCGGGCTGACCGAGACTCCATGCACTAGTGTGAAAGATAAGGTCAGCCAAAGCACTTCTACTTCCAGCAAGGACAATTGCCAGACGGGGTTGAGGGCTCACCTTGAAGCTGCTCCAGGTTTGGCCTGGGCAGCCGAGATCTTCGCAGAAGGCGCCACCATAATGGGCTTGTCGTTTCAGAGAGGTGAAGCCTAAACTCCTTGCGAGCTATGGGAGTCCTCTGTTACTCCGCGGTTGGAGATTTGTGGTTGTAGCAATGCGGCGTGGACGGCAGCGGCGTCGGCGACGGTGGGGACAGTGACCGCAGACGAGTCGTGGTTTAGAGAAGAGTGAGAGACGAGGAGGAGGGCGTAAGAGGGGGGTTAAATAGGTAGGACGGGAGGTCCAAGAGAGATCTGAATTGTTGTGGAGAGGCGAGGGCGACAATCGAGTGCTGTTATGGGATGGAAAAGTAGTGGGAGCGGTGACTGCCTTAATAACAAACACTTGCAAGAGCTGAAGATTCTGTGGGATGGGAATCACGTGGGAAAGAAGTGGCTGTCTATGGGAAGGAAGGAACCAGGGACCATCATACCTGCCCATTCCGTCTCAGGGTCTCTGTTGGGTGTTCTTTCCTCGCAGTCAGTGCTGGTTTGATCCGAGTCCTGGTTTGGCTTCAATCCCAAGCAATTTGGCCTTCTGGAGAAGCCGTGGTCCGGAGTTGAAAAACGCGACTCTAGATGGCGTCAAAGATATGACGAAACCCATCAGATCCAAATCCCATGGTTGACCTCGAGCAACGTTCTTTAGTAATTATTAGTGTCTCGATCTTTTTCGTACTACAAGCTACTTTCATTCATAAAATTCAATTCTTTCTCGGGGATGAAAGTTGAGCTATCCGCGATGTTGAGATCACTCCAGCTCTGCGCCAACAGATTCCTCCCAAACGTGTTATCTCGGGATGAAATCATTGTGGAAGTATGGGGTGCCACGCAAGTTTTCGTTCTATCAGCCCATCTTGGGACAGCAGAAACAAGCTGGAGGCTATGCGTAGAGTGTCTGCTTACCGGACGAACTTGAATTCTTGCAGAATAGGAGCATTGGAGCATTGGATGGCCGAGCAAGACACTCATCCAGTTGAACATTCCTCGCCCGCCCTTTCCTCGTAGACTATACCTGCAACTCTAGATCCAGTCAAACGGATTAGCGGTGTATAGATGATGGCAGAACCCAACATATGTAAATCAAGCCTTTCGAGTGACAGAGGTCCTCCCAAGACACCTACAACAAATACCCGCCGACACTAGAAAAATTTATTGAAATACGAATCCAACCTGTCAATCATGATGAAGGATATTCAGAATGTCATGACGGCGTCCTGCTTATATGAGCGACGCTCTGGGCTTAGCGAGCCATGATTGAGATTGAACTGATGGTCTGTCAAAGACACTTGTCAAATCCAGGAACGGGATAGTGTCAAAGGTTCTTGGATTTGATAAGTGTCAAAGAAGGAAGACGACTAAGTCGAAGTCGTATTTCGGTCAACTACCCGCTTGAAACAAAAGAAGGGGGGCATGTTGGAGAGCAACACTCCGAAAGGAGTATGACACATGAAAGAAAGAGCAGGTTACGAACTGGCCCTGATAGATGGGATACACACCATTCGGTGATATCAACCTCCCTCTCCTTTTCTCAGATTCCGTCTTCAGCACAACTCCAGATATCCGATTTCAACCCTTCCTGCCAAAAGCCCGGGAGGTTGAATATTGACCGGTTCGATGAACCCTCGAGTGGCGCATCGGAAGCGAACGGCCAACCCTGGAGAAAAGGCACGACGGTGACCAGGTGGACACAATTACCCAACAATCGAGCACCATCACAGAATCCCAAGGTGCCAAACAGGCCGCATCAGATCTGAGTCTCGTCCCGCCCGGTCCGGGCAAAGTCGACAAGGTTAGTATCCCGTACCACCCGGACGCCCAGCCGGGCTGGCGGCAGCCAAAAAGAAAAAAAGAGTCCAGACCTGCCCTACCGATGATTCGCGATATCAATGTCTCACTCCTCCTGAATGACTCTTCCAAAGAAAGAAAAGAAAGATATCATAATCCCAAGGCCCAAACTTTGCCCAATCCCTCTTGTCTTTCCCAATGCTTGATTGAAGTGATCTTCAAACTCTTGACACCTTTTGCCACCCAACCGACCATTGAAAGAAGCAAAATGGGCCCTTCATCACAGATTGGCACTACAGCAACAGTCAACTTTCTTCATCATCACCGTGGCAACTCTCGTCCAAACTGGTACCAACCTGGACTCAAATCAACAAGGACAAGAGGCGAGGCGAGGCTAAGTGACGGAACCTTCCCGCGATACCTACCCCGTGACTTGAGTGACGAGAGTCTAGGCCCATCTACTACCAACTAACAAACCCACCACGGCTCGTCAATCGCTTCCATTTCGTTCTCATTCGTCAGATATGATCCACGGAGCCACACGGCACTCTGAAAAGAGGTGTACTTATCGGTCGGCGTACACTCTCCTTGGCATCACAGTACAACCCCGAAAGAAAGAGTGGAGGAGGAAAGGGGCCCTGGTTCCCTAGACCTAGAGGGTGAATCACACTCTCCATCAGTTCATCAGCCGGCCCCCATGCCGTTGCAAGTGGGTTCACGTGATCACCCATGCCAGTCAGTCAGTCAACAAAAATGATGGATGACGTTTCGCAGTTATTTTCGATGAATGACTGACAGATGAAAGAGGCAGAAAAAAAAAAAAACCCCGACCCTGTCTGGCGAGTTGTCGAAGAAGACGCCGTGGTCAGTCGGTTGGATGATGATGATGATGATGATTGTTGAGGTTGATGGAAAGTTGCCGGGCGCCGCGGCCCCGGATCCAATCCTCCCACTGCTCCCCCTGCTCTGCCCCTGGAGCCATGTCACCGTGTCACATCCTCTGGGCTCTGGCATCGTCGACTGTCATTGTTCCTGGGTGACTGTCCTGCTGGCGTGACTGAATGGTGCAAGCAAAAAAGGAAGCACGGGCCCGAGCCGGTGGGTGCCATTGGCGAGGCTTGCTCGCATCTCATGGGTATTGTTGACCGGCAGCTGTTCTCCAGCTGTCAGGTCGCATAGGGCCCCCTTCCGCCAATGGTGTGGATCCGCCAGTGTGAATTGTGGATCCGTCTAAATGGCGTGCGGCCGGGTGGAGCCACAAAGCAAGGCATTGGCCGATGCACGCACTAACTTCTGCAGGTGCTCGGTGCTGCAGATGCAGCTAGTGCACAACCCGGGAGAGCTTGGCTTCAAGAGTTTTGGGAACTTTCCATTTGAAAGATTGGATGCATCGAAAAGGAGAAGAAAGAACATGTTCACCATGATACACTACTCCGGCCTAGAACTTTTACGCAGGGAAAGATTTGTGTCGCGCACAACCAGATCTCCAATGAAGATGTAATAGGAGAGCTTTCGTGTGAATGTGTGTGTGTGTGTGCGTGACAAGATGTGACAGTCACTCAGTCAATCACAGCTTTCACAGTTGATGTTACACGTACCACTCAGAGGTTCGGAAACCGTGAAAAGGACAGACCTCTAGCACGACAGTAAGCGTGCCCTGATCTGTGATTCACAAACGAGAAGCAGAGAAGCGCTTTGGGGCCGCACTGGCGGGTTGGGTGTGTCGTGCAAGTGTGTGAAGCACATACATACCTATATCAGACTCCCGGGCCATCCATCCGGAGCTTACATACCTAGGCACTCCGACATCGAAACAATCAAGCATTCATACCAGCCTTCCTCGCACATGCTAATTCCATTGTTGGTGTAGTGGTTGCTTGCTTGCTTGCTTGTATGACTGTTGTACTGGACAGGGGGGCAGCTAATGCCAGCCAATGCCAGATGGTTGGGTATATCAAACCACGAAGCTTTTACAATGTTTAGTCTAGTGTACTATGTTAGGGAAGGGTCTCAAACTTGTTCCTATTCCCACATCCCACATCCCAGTTCGCATGAATCTCCCCTCCGTGTTTCGGGTTTCATGAAGAAATGGCAAAGATGACCCAGCAGGAGTAGAGGCAGGATCCGATACTAATCGTTCACTACTGTACCTATTAGCATGGGTCCTTCTTCTTCCTTGTTTACCACATGCCGCACGTAATTTGATGATTCTTCGATTTGCGGTTTCAAGGGATAACATCCGATGGTACAGAATTCAGAAAGAAGAAGACGTCTTCCGTCTTCCACACCAGGGAAGCTTTCCATATCTGGTACCGTCGGCCGTGACTGTAGTTTGGTGTTGAGTAAAAGATTCATTTCCATAGGGACTATCTAACCGGTTATTAGGTGTTGGCAAGAAAATTCTTCTCAAACAACCCGTTTATGTCTATTTTGAGGTTCGTCTTGGGGTTGTCACCTTAGTCTCGGTTGATGCCCCGCCGAGGGATCCGCGTACGGGGGCGCAGGAATCCTCAGTCATTTTGCGCCTCGAGCAATCTCACGACATGCGCAACGGCTGGGCGGGTTTGAGAAACATAGCGGGGAGAAACTGCGCAGGCGCGGAAGACCCGGCTGAGGCGGAAAACTCTATAGATCATCGTAGTTTTTCCCTTTCCCTTGTCGGAAAACCGATGATGAACGGGCGTGTTTTTTGGGGGTGTGAGACTGCGAATCTGCGATGCACAAACATACCGGCCGGGGTTAGGGGTAGGGGCCCTTGGCTACCACCGCGGCACTCGCCGTTCATTCAGCTCCTGCGCCCATCTTCTTTGCCAATGTTGAAATGCAGAGATAACCATGTGGTGATGTCCAGGTTTACACGGACCATCTCCGCAATTCGGGTATGGTATCTATGTGCTGAATGATGATCGTGCTGTGATGCCCCTATTGCTCGACAGGTCGTCCGTTGATATGGCCCCACGGTACTGGGCTGTAATTTCGTCCTCAAGCCGACTACTTGTGGTCAAGAATATCCTTCCTCTTCTCAGGCGTGGCAGTGAAGTGAGAACCTCGGACCTGTTGGGAAAATAACAGAAATGGAAGAAGAGATATGAAGCACTTGTTCTGGTGAGTAAGCAAATTGGTTTGATGCCCATGATGGAAACGGGACCATGGAAATTCAAGTGGCGTTAACACAAGCTACGGTGTACAGCCAGGAACAATGTGGATATGATACCTATGTATCTTGTGCCTAG